ACGTCATTAAAGATAGTAGTAACCGTAACATGTGTAATTTGGTAGAAACGGAGTCAGACAGAGATAAAATACATAAAACGTCATAGACTCTTGAACATTCATAGGAATGAGCCTGCACTTCTCCATATTTTTATGGAAACACTACAATACAGCAAAATAATGACAGCTTTTTTTTTTTTTTTTAGACAGAGTCTTGCTCTGTCGCCCAGGCTGGAGTGCAGTGGCCGGATCTCAGCTCACTGCAAGCTCCGCCTCCTGGGTTTATGCCATTCTCCTGCCTCAGCCTCCCGAGTAGCTGTGACCACAGGCGACGCCACCTCGCCCAGCTAGTTTTTTGTATTTTTTAGTAGAGACGGGGTTTCACTGTGTTAGCCAGGATGGTCTCGATCTCCTGACCTCGTGATCCGCCCGTCTCGGCCTCCCAAAGTGCTGGGATTACAGGCTTGAGCCACCGTGCCCGGCCATGACATCATTTTATGAAGTGAAGGGGGTTTATTAAACCACTCCAGGCATGTTATATTAGTTTGTTTTCCCACTGCTACAAAGAACTACCTGATTTGGGTAATTTATAAAGAAAATAGGTTATCGACTCATAGTTCTGCATGGCTGCAGAGGCCTCAAGAAACTTGCAATCAAGGCAGACTGTGAAGGGGAAACAAAGAGACGGCTCACATGGCAGCAGGAGAAGTGGGGAGAGCTACCACACACTTTAAATTTTCAGATCTCCTGAGACCTCAATCGCTATCATGAAAACAGCATGGAGGAGCCACCCCCATGATCCAGTCACCTCTCACCAGGTCCCTCCCTGGACTTGTGGAGATTCCAATTCAAGATCAGATTTGGGTGGGAACACAGAGCCAAACCATATCTCATGTCCAGCTCGGTCCCGGAGTTGGCTCAGGGATCAGGTGCGTCCTGTTAATAGGAGCTGGGACACCAAGCTCCCAGCCCCAGTTGTAGTTGACATCATGCAAAGGCCAAGATATGTCAACTGAGATTTAGTGTGGATGTGATACCTGATGGTGACACACCCTCAGACCAAGCGGATATGGAAGGGATAATTATCTCCACACTAGAGGTGTCTGCTGAGAGCAGGCAGTTCTCCCAGGAAAGTCCACAACGGCTTGATAGAGCAGGGAAGGAGACGGGCTCAGGGTTTTTACCATGGTTTGGCGGTGGGGGGAGACTGAGTGTTTCCGCTCACAGAAGGGGTTGGTAGAGTAGGAAACTCCCACTCGCATCAAATAAGGCAGCTCCTGTGATTCTGACTGATATTCACCTTGTGTGTAAAAAAGGAGGTCATGGAAGAATGAGCCTTAAGCTATCAGCAGTCACACACCAATATACAGTGTGACAAGTTATTCTATGTAGCAACTATAAAAATAACGAATAAGAAAAGAGATAAGGGTTCAATATGATGGACAATACCAAGGTCTACAGAAAATGAGGTGAGTGTTTATAAGTCAAAGCAAATAGTAATGAGAAGCAGGAGGAAGGTGTGGGGGATTAGACAGGGGTCCCGGTCCAATGAATTGGGTGGAAACATTTTACTATTAAGGGTTATCAGCTTAGTCTGAAGGTCTTAGGTCAGCCATCTGTTTAAAAACATCAGAAACACCAGAGGATCTTTGAGGATGCTCAGTTTAACGTCTCCTATTTTATTAGCCTTGCAATCCTGTGAATTTTTTTTTTTTTTTTTTTTTTGAGATGGACTTTCGCTCTTGTTGCCTAGGCTGGAGTGAAATGGCACTATCTTGGCTCACCACAACTTCCAACTCCCGGGTTCAAGTGATTCTCCTGCCTCAGCCTCCCAATAGCTGATATTACAGGCATGCACAACCACACCCAGCTAATTTTGTATTTTCAGTAGAGACGGGGTTTCTCCCAGTTGGTCAGGCTGGTCTCAAACTCTGGACCTCAGGTGACCCCTTGCCTTGGCCTCCTATAGTGCTGGGATTATGGGTGTGAGCCACTGCTCCAGGCCAAAAATATTATTGGTTCTTTTTCGTTTGTTTTTAGAGACAGAATCTCTCTCTATTGCACGTTTGAAGTGCAGTTGTGTGATAACAGCTCACTGTAGTCTTGAAATCTTGGCTCACAGAGTATGTTCGTATGTATGGTGCAGGTGTGTGTCTGTGTGTGCTTACCCGGCATGGGGTTCTCTGATTTTTGGGTCTGTGGTTAGGTGTTTCACATTCTTAACATATTTTTCTTAAGAAATGTATCTTAAGATATAAGTATATCTTAAGATTTCATTATTTCTTAAGACATTTTTCTCTAGGTTTCTAACTTCTCTTTCTGAAATTGGAAATATATCTACACTACACTTTTTGATATTAGTTCTTATATTTCTTCACTCATTTTCCCTTTGAAATTTATTTTGTGTAATTTCCAGTAACGGAGTTTAAATTCCTGATTTCATTTATAAGCTGAGCAAATTCTAAGCTGAGCGTACCCAAGGTATATTCAATTTTATACTGAATCACTTTTGATAATTTTATGAATTTCCATTTGATTCTTTCTTAGTATTTCGGTCTGTCAGTTACCTATCTAATCTTGCATTGTGTCCACATTTTCTTTCAGATACTTTTAACAAATTAATTTTAATTACTTTAAATATCCTACTTAATAAGATAGTTCTAGTATTGTGTCATTCATAAATATCAATTCTGATGATTTTTCCATTATGACTTTGGTGTTTTTCATTGATGTATGTTAATATTTTTGTTGATAGCCAGCCATGTTTGGACCCTTGATATTGACTTATTATTTTATTTTGTGCATTTCTGCCTGTATTTTACCACACCCTATCTTTGCTGGGCCTTGGTTGTGAAGATGTCTGTGCATCTCTTCAGAGCTATATTTGACATTTCCTTTTGCAATGGCTGTAGCAGTTGAAGTATGTTCTTCTATGTCCACCAGAGACTTCATATCCTCTAGTGAGACCTTGTTTTTCATGCCTGCTTGGCTTTGAATATTCACCTCATTCCATTCTACAGAGAATCTCCTTCACGTTCCTAGGGTGAATTAAAGTGTTATATTTAACTGCCAATTGTGAAATTAGTGGAAGGCATTAGACTAAAGGAAGAGTCTCTGACCTCTCGTGGGGCCATATTTCTAGAAAATCATTGTGATCCTGGGTCTGAGCGTGACCTTCCGAGTTTTCCCGACCCTCCTCCAAATGGGGGTGCTGGTCTGTGTGTTCTTGCCTCTTCCCCTGGGGTAGAGTCCTCCTGTTTTCCCCGGTTGTTCCCTCCCACTGCTCTAATCCTCCCTGTTGGCGTCTCCATCTTCCCCATCTGCTGCCATGACCTGCAGATTAAGGCTCTGATTCCACAAGAAAGTGAGGGAGCTGCTTCTCAGTAGATCTTTGATGGGGATCTCTGTTCCCATATCAGCTCGTGAGGGGTAGCTTCAGTGCCCTAGGACACTGATTTTCATGGCTTGCTCCTGCAGGGTCATATCTTAGTTTTGTGGTGGGAATCAGAGAGCTGGGTCTGGATGCGTTTCAGAAGTGTGGGCTCTCATTCTCTCCCAGACAGTCACTTTGGGAAAGACAGATTTTTGTGACTGTAAAGGATTTAAGGGAATCAGACAACTCTTCAGCATGTTGTCCCTTAGAATTTCTCACTACAACACGCTTCACATACTCGACTTCAAGCAATCCAATGTATATTTGTGCTCCATCTTGTAATGGCCTACATTGAATACGACAGACTCAGCCTCAGGTAATTTCATATCTTGGCTTTATTACTCTACACAAGAACTTGCCTCTCCCTAGATGTCATTTTTTTTTGTTTTAATCTTCAATTATCTGAAGCATTAAATAAAACTTGCAAAATTCCATATTTTCTATTTATCTGTTATTGCTGATGTTATTGTTTCAAAAATAAATACATATATATAATTTCTCATTTACGTACATTTTTAAGCTGAGCAGCATACTTTTTAAGTAAAACCTAGAATAATAAAAGAATCCAAATATTTTTCAGCTGCCCCCCAAAAAAACCAAATTATGGTAAATGTGTTCACTGGAATACTACTCAACATTATAATAAATATATTTCCGGCACACAGAACAACAAAGAAAAATATCTAAATGTTTATGATGAGCAAAATAAGCCAGACAAATAAGAATATACACCATGTTACTCCATTTATGTAATTTCTTTTAAATGAAAAAGAATCTAAGGTAATATCCAGAAGATCAGTAGTTACCTGGGAAAACGGTAGACGAAAGGAAGGGGAAAGGAGGAGACATACAGAAGAACAAGAGAAAATGTTGAGGAAAAGTCACTTGTCCACTTTGGTAATGATGACACATCATGTTTATCAATTGCACACTTTAAATATGTGAAGCTATTCTCTGCCTAGTAACACTCACAAAATTTATTGTAAACAGACAAATGAACAATTAGACAAAGAAAGGGTGGTATAAAGACAGAAAATGTATATTAAATGTCAGAAATGTCTGAGAATTTAACTCCTGAATCCTAGTTCCCTCCTTATTTTTAGGTGAATTGTAGACAACTAGTGCAACAAAATCACACGTATTCTCAGTACAGGAAATGGGTTCCACAAAGCATGCTAGGTATGTCCAATTCTTACCAAGATTTGGTTCAGGGAGTAACAGTGATGAGGAATAACAGGCTCAGATACCGGGGCTCAGTCATCCCAGACATGGGCTCCTAGACACACACTTAGCCCCTCCTCCATGTGTGGGTTCACTTCCACATATGTAAATGGAGAAACCATTGACTCCTACAGAACATAATTTACACAAATATATAAAAAATAAAATCGTGCAAAATATTGATCACAACAAGATTTCCTAATAAGACAGCATGTTTTCCAAATACCATCATTGTCACCCAACTCCTGCGGGGCCTGTCATTTTATCTGGGGTCTGCCGTCTCCTCAGGGTTCCCACCCCAGAGCTCTCTGTGTAGTAGGAGATATGCAAATAGGGCCCTCCCTCTGCTGTTGAAAACCAGTCAAATCCTGACCCTGCAGCTCTGGGAGAGGAGTCACAGCCCCGGGATTCCCAGCTGTCTCCACTTGGTCATGAACACTGAACTCAGAAGAGGCACCATGGAGTTTGTGCTGAGTTTGGTTTTCCTTGTGGCTATTTTAAAAGGTGATTTATGGAGAATGAGAGATATTGAGTGTGATTGGACATAAGTGAGAGAAACAGGGGCTATGTGTGGTGGTTTCTGACCAGGATGTCTCTGTTTTTGCAGGTGTCCAGTGTGACGTGCAGCTGGTGGAGTCTGGGGGAGGCTTGGTAAAGCCTGGGGGGTCTCTGAGACTCTCTTGTGTAGCCTCTGGATTCACCTTCAGTAGCTATGCTATGCACTGGGTCCGCCAGGCTCCAGGAAAGGGTCTGGAGTGGGTCTCAGTTATTAGTACAAGTGGTGGTACCACATACTACGCAGACTCTGTGAAGGGCCGATTCACCATCTCCAGAGACAACGCCAAGAACTCACTGTTTCTGCAAATGAACAGCCTGAGAGCCGAGGACACGGCTGTGTATTACTGTATGAGAGACACAGTGAGGAGAAGTCAGTGTGAGCCCAGACACAAACCTCCCTGCAGGGTACCTGGGACAACCAGGGAACGCCTGGGACACTGTACATGGGGCTGTCTCCAGGGGCAAGTGCAGGTGGTGCAAGGGCTGGTTTCCCGTCGTGGTCTGGAGCTGCCTTGCTACCAAATTACCCCAGGGAATTTCTCTAGATTTACAATTCTGTACTAAGATTTGGTGTTGTCTCTGACTGCAAAATGTCCCCCCAACCTTGTATCTTTTTTTTTTTTCTTTTTGTAACAGGAGGACACATCCACACCCTGCAGAAGCCTGAGTGTCACTTTGGGGGTAGAGATGACCCTGCCTTGATCACACTGGTCAGTGTCCTGAGGAGCACACCCCACAGGGGACCCCGATGACTCCAGTAATGGCTCTGCTTCAAAACCACTGAAGAGTCCTTCCTTTCATTAGAGTCGATCACAGCTCCTGGGCTTCAGCACAAGCCGCACCATAGATGTCACAGAGCAGCAGCTTGACACCTGACCCATGTGATGTTCCTGCCTTTAGAGACTGGGAGAGGGGTGTGTTCTCAAGGTCAACACACTCTTTGTGGATTTTGAAACAGAACACCTGCTTTTACTTTATTTCATTTGAAGATAAATGAACAAATATGCATCTGCAAATGATTGTAATTTTCACATTTATTCCAGTTCCATTATTTCTTAGTTCTGCGTGAGGTCCTGCTACAGGGTTGTGTTTTCTGTAGGTATTTTTCAACAAACCAAGAAAATGCCTTTTCCACTTTCACTGGTTTTTCTCCATGTGCAGAGACCTTGAGTAGAGCATGTCTGACTGCATTTGTCTGTTTTCACACTGCTGATCAAGACTTACCAGAGAATGGGCAATTTACAACAGACAGAGTTTTTTTGGACTTACAGTTTCACGTGGCTGGAAAGGCCTCACAATCACAGTGAAAGGTGAAAGGCACATCTGACATGGCAGCAGACGAGAGAAGAGAGCTTGTGCTGGGGTCTCCCCTTTTTAAAACTGTCAGATCTCATGAGACTCATTCACTATTATGAGAACAGTGCAGGAGAGACCCACCCCCATAATTCAGTCACCTCCCACTGGGCCCCTCCCACAACGTTGGGAATCATGGGAGTTTCACTTCCATATGAGACTTGAGTGGGGACACAGCCAAACCATATCGTTCCACCCCATGTCCCCTCCCAAATCTCATGTATTCACATTTCACAACCAATCATGCCTTCCCAACAGCTCCCCAAAGTCCAAACTCATTTTGTCATTAACTCAGAAGTCCACAGTACAACCTTTCATCTGAGACAAGGCAAGTCCCTTCCACTTATGAGCCTGTAAATTCAAAAGCAAGTTACAGGCATTGGGTGAACATACCCATTCCAAGAGACAGACATTGGCCATAACAAAGAGGCCCCACGCAAGTCCAAAATCCAGCAGGGCAGTCAAATCATAAAGCTGAGCAATGATCACCTACAACTCCACTTCTCACATCCGGGACATGTTGATTCAACAGCTGGGTCCCGATGGTCTTGGGCAGCTCCACTCCTGTGGCTTTACAGGGTACGGCCCCCCTCCTGGCTGCTTTCACAGGCTGGTGTTGAGTGTCTGTGGCTTTTCCAGGCACACAGTGCAAGCTGTCAGTGGATCTACCATTCTGGGATCTGGAGGACTGTGGCCCTTTTCTCACAGCTCCACTAGACAGTGCCCCGGTAGAGACTCTGTGTGGGAGCTCTGGCCCTATATTTCCCTTCCTCACTGCCCTAGCAGAGGTTCTCCATGAGTGCTCCACCGCTGCAGCAAACTTATGACTGGACATCCAGGTGTTTTCATACGTCTTCTGAAATCTAGGCAGAGGTTCTCAAACCCCAATTCTTAGCACTCTTTCCATAAGGGTTGATTTCTTTTGGCCTGTTCATTACTGGTATTTTTCAAAGGAATCTCACTTGGATCTTTCCTCTTTTGCTTTTTGTCTCCATGACAATGTTGAGAAGTTTTACCTCCAGCAACATAAGATGATCTAGTGACCTGACACATTTGTGGCAAACAATATCTACAAATTCAGAAGCTCTTTGTTTTTCTTTCCACGAATTATAATTCTTTCTGTTCTGTGTATGAGCGTATCCTAGCAACCCTGTACACACCCACATAGAGGTCTACAAGCTTATGAATTATTCTCTGTAAATAAAAATTTATCTCAATTTCCCTCAATGTTCATAATTCTCCTGAGGGTGAGGAAGATCCTTCTCGACCTGTTCAAACTAAATGCCCAGGGACCATCTGGTAGGTAAGGAGCTCACCTGGCTCTGGTGTGGGGTCTGTCTCTTTCCCTCTGTTGTCCCATTGGTAAGCCCAGTTGTTCAGGTCCTAATAAGACAGCCCAGGTTTGTCCTGATTTCAAAACACATCAAACTTCTGAAGACTCTCCTGTTATCCACATCCAAGGAGATAGATTGTTTATTACATAATTCACCAAACTAATGTCAAATGCACAACTTGCAATACAGCACATCCTAAAGTGTGTTCATGCAAATCAATGGAGGATAAAGTCTTTCAGAGACAGATGGACCTGAAATGATAAATATGTGGGTAAGGACTCTGGGCTTGATAAATATGTGGCTGTTTCACAAGTGTGACCTGTCAGGGAAGGACCAGAGTTTCTTGTGCTCTAGAGGAGAGGGGTCACAGAGTTCCTCTCTGGTTCCCAGGAAAGGTAATTGCACTAATCTTGGTGATGAGATAGAGTTTTTGTCTGAAGTTGTCACTGCAATCCAGAATCTATATATTTTTAATCAGAATTGTTTAGAGACCAGGCCACATCTTCAAGGTCACATACTGAGAAGAATGGACACATGTCCCACTACCTTCTCCTAAGATCTCAGACAGAATCCCAAATACCAAAAGGTCACAGAAGGACAGCTCTCAGGTGCTTTTATAAATGACCCACTTCCAGGGACAGTGAGCTTCCCTCTAATCATAATGGATGTTCTGAACTACAATAAACATTAGATGGATCCAGGATTGTTTGAAGTCACTGTCATTATTACATTCAGCAGTTGTTTCAATGTGTCTGAAGTAGTAAATGACCATTTAAATGACCTGGATGTGTGGTTGGTTTTATATGAATCTTTAAGGGTAGAACAGTTGACCCTATTCCAAAATCTGTCCCTGATCCATGATCACATTTATCTCCCAGATCGGCTCCTTCAGCACTTTTCCTACCTGGAAGAAGAGGACTCTGGGCTTGGAGAGGGGAAGCCCCAGGAAGAGAACTGAGTTCTCAGAGGGCACAGCCAGCATCCTACTCCCAGGGTGAGCCCAAAAGACAGGGTCCTCCATCCTCTTTTTACACCTCTCCATACAAAGGCACCACCCACATGCAAATCCTCACTTAAGCACGCACAGGAAACCACCACACTTTTTCTTAAATTCAGGGTCCAGCTCACACGGGAAATGTTCTCTGAGAGTCACGGACCTCCTGTGCAAGAACATGAAGCACCTGTGGTTCTTCCTCCTCCTGGTGGCAGCTCCCAGATGTGAGTGTCTCGGGGATGCAGATATGACGATATGGGAGGCTGTCTCTGATCCCAGGACACACTGTGGGTCTCTCTGTTCACAGGGGTCCTGTCCCAGGTGCAGCTGCAGGAGTCGGGCCCAGGAGTGGTGAAGCCTTCGGAGACCCTGTCCCTCACCTGCGCTGTCTCTGGTTACTCCATCAGCAGTGGTTACTACTGGGGCTGGATCCGCCAGCCCCCAGGAAAGGGGCTGGAGTGGATTGGGAGTATCTATAGTAGTGGGAGCAACTACCTTAACCCGTCCCTCAAGAGTCGAGTCACCCTGTCAGTAGACACGTCCAAGAACCAGTTCTCCCTGAAGCTGAGCTCTGTGACCGCCGCGGACACGGCCGTGTATTACTGTGCGAGACACACAGTGAGGGGAGGTGAGTGTGAGCCCAGACACAAACCTCCCTGCAGGGAGGCGGAGGGGGCGGGCGCAGGTGCCGCTCAGGACCAGCAGGGGGCGCGCGGGGCCCACAGAGCAGGAGGCCGGGTCAGGAGCAGGTGCAGGGAGGGCGGGGCTTCCTCATCTGCTCAGTGCTCTCCCTCCTCACCAGCACCTCAGCTGTCCCCAGGGCTCCTCTTTCGTCGATATCTGTGGTTCTGCTTCCCCACATTCTTCTGCCAGAAAAGAAACGAGGAAGACAAATTTTCCTCTTACAATTGAGGTTTCACCGATTACTAGGAACTTTCCTACAAGTTCCTGCATGGTCCATTATAACTTATTGTTTAAAATATATATATATTCTAACGGTTCTCACCATCTATTGATTTGTGTCGTCAATTGAATTGTTCCCTCTTTGAAACTCATATGCTGAAGCCTTAAATTCAATGGATCTCTGTTGGAATTTTAATGATACAATTAAGGTTAAATGTGGTCAGAAGTGTAAGACCCTAATGCAACAGACCTGTTGTATTTATAAGAAGAGGAAGAGACACCAGAGACCTCTCACTTTGCACGTGCACGCAGAGAAGAGGCCATGTGGAGACGTAGTGTATTAGAAGGTGCCCCAGTGCATGCCAGAAAGAAGCCGCACCAAGAACCAAACCTGCCAGCACCTTGATCTTCAACATTCAGACTTCAAAATTTTAAGCAAATCAGTATTTGTTGTTTCAGCCACCCACTCTGTGTTGTCTTCTTATGAAGACCCAGACAGACTAATACCACATAACTCATAACTCTGTTAGCGCTGTCCCCTGGATGGAGAATCAGCCCCTTGAGACTGGGCACATCTCTCAGATTTCTACATAAAGTAGGCAAAAAGTAGTAGCTGTGATATAAAAACTTGTCATGTCCCTGTTGGCCATTTTCTGGACAAGGTCTTTTAAACAAGCCCTGGGGCTTTGTCACAAAAGTTGTCTTTTATCTTTTCTTATGACCTAACTAATGGACAATGGGTACCAGCTGGGTGGAGACTGACCACTGACCATCTTCTGCTGTCTCCTTAGCATGCCACAGAAAACCACACCAACATTACTCTATGTCTTCAACTTTCCAAATTTGCACTGAATCTATTGCTAAATGAGGAGCTACATGAGGTCTGAGTTTTGTTCCCTTCTTCCCAGTCTTCCTCAATTACCAAGGGCAGAAGAGACTTTCAATGAAATTTGGCTGTCAATGCCCCCAACACCATATCA